AATCTGGACTGATTTGACTGCCCTCACTTGATAAATCACCATTTTCTTGTCTTCATTTTTATACTGATTGGTTCAACACCTGCACACCCAGGGGCAGAAGTGCTGTTCTGCAGCAAGCCAAGGAGCAAACTTGTTATATGCAGCGTGTTCTGCAGCATTTTGGGTATTTTCCCCCTTTAAAATAGTCTTGTGTTGCTAAGCTGACTCTAGTCTGGCTCAGTGTGAGAGCAATTTTGAGGTGAATGCTGCTGGAGATAGAGTTTGGTTTTGTTTTAGGAAGAAATCCTTGAATTTGGGTGAGAGAAAACAAACTTAAGTTCCACCAGGGGAGATTTAGATTGGATATTAGGGCAAAATTTAATCACTGAATGGGTGGTGGTGGAGTCATCAGGCCTGGAGGGATTTAAGAGATGTGTGGATGTGGCAGCTGTGGACAGGGGTCAGTGGTGGCCTTGGCAGTGCTGGGGGAATGGTTGGACTCGATTTGAGAGCTTTTCCAACTTTAATCATTCTGTGCTGTGTAAATCTCTTGAAGCTTCTATGGGTAGGGTTACATCACCCTGCTTTGTGTGTAGGATCTGACCCACCAGGTGTCCCCCACCATCCTTTCCCTGTCTCTGTGCATTTGCCCAGAAGCTGAAACTTCCCAAGAGATTGATTTTTCCAGAGCACAGACACCACCACATCCTGCAGATGCTTTGCAGTGCAGGTGCCTGGGCTTGCAGAGCTGCTCCCAGGGGGTTTTACCCTGATGTTTGGCAGAATTTCTGTGCCTGGGTTGTTGTCCCACCATGGCCCAGCACAGGAGCCCTGCTTGGTGACAGCCTGTCCATCTTCCTAGCAGCTCTCTCCTTCCAGGCTGGCAAAGGCTCCTGGCAGCATTTTGGAGCTGGTGGATGGTGACATTGACTGATCACACGAAGGCAACACATTAATAATAAAGAAATTGTCCTAGAAAGGCCTTCCTGCCTTGACAATCAGCTGTGATCACAAAAGCAGAGCAGAAACTGAACCTCAGTGGGAGAAAACACTTGGCAGAGGCTCCTTAGTGCCTCTCCCTCCTGCTCTGGCAAGAGATGGGAGCTACAGACCCCCCCACCCCTAATCCTATTGTTATTTACACAGCATTATTTACATATTTACACGGTGGTATTAGCACATAGGGCTGATCCTGCAGCACTGAACACCACATAAAATCACAGCTTAAACTGGCACAGATCACAGCAATCCTCTGTGGTACCATTTAGACATCTTTATCCACTGAGTTTGGTGTGAGGGAGAATGGGCAGGAAAAGGACAGAGCAAATGACAACTCCAGGTTTTGCCCTACAGCTTCTTTCATTTTTAATTTTTTTTTTATGTGGAGGAGATTTCTTTTGGGTTTTTTTTTTATTTTTGTTTGTTTTGGCTTTTGTGGATTTTTTGTTGTTTTGTTGTTGCACTTTGAATTCAGTTTGTGCCTCTCTGAGTGAGTCTGTCACCTTCCACTGAGAGCCTCTCTCTGCTCAGGGCACAGCAAGATCTTTCTGCTGTGTGTTCAGCCTGACAAAATGGTTTCCTGGCTCTCCTGAGGAATACAAGTGTTTGCAAACATTAATGGAAAATACCTAAACATAGAAACATCATTCTTCAGCTGAAACCCTGGTGTAGCTCCATTGCCTTCAGCAAGGTTATGAGCACAGTGGCTTCAGCTCCAGCTTCTTCCAAGCCATCACATCCCCCAAAATTGCTCCTGAGGTGCCTTTTACCTGCTGGATGCTGGTGGTTTGCTTCAGATTCCACAGGTTGTGGGTTCCTGCTGGGTCAGGGAAATGCCTCACAAGGGAGGTGTGAGGTGATCTCATTTCTCCTGCCTAAGCCACAGAAATCATCATGGATGTGTAGTTTTGTGGTGAAAAGCCTCACTTTTGGAGCAAGCACAAGGTGCTTTTTCCCTCTGGAAATAACAAATTCCATCCTCTGGATCTCACCTGTGTCACTAATGGATCCATTCAGGGTCCCATGATAAAGCCCACTGGTGAATGTTTCTATTAATAAAGCTGGAAACCCCCAAAAACTCTGCTGAAAATGTGTTATTTTATCTCAGACTCCTTTCCCTGGACAGGAATGATAGGACAAGAAGAAACAGCCTCAAGCTGCAGCAGGGGAGGTTTAGGTTGGATATTAGGAAAAATTTCTGTAACAAAAGGATGGTCAGGCATTGTGCCAGGCTGCCCAGTCCCTGCAGAGATTGAGAAGATGTGTGGATGTGGCACTTGGGGCTGTGATTTAGTACAGGATTAACAGTTGGACTCAGTAATCTTAGAGGGTTTTTCCAACCTAAACCATTCCATGTCACACAAAAACAGTTCACATGGAGCTGCAAATGCACTTCAACTCTGGATTACTTCTGACTCTGCTGGGCTTTACACTTTCACTCTTTGTCTTTCCCAATAGTTTTCTTTCCATCTGCTGCTGAGGCCTTTTGAAGGCCAAAATGTGCCAGTTTAGGAGGGAAAATGTGACTTTTGTAGTAGGATCTTGTGTGAAGCACAAACCCCCAGCTTGAGCTTCAGCTGTGTGCTGCTCACTTCCATTTCCCATCTTTATGGGACTGCCCAGCCTGCCTATGTTTGCCTGCTGAGCCTCCTCTGCTGAAATCCCACCCTTGGGAAGTTTTTGGGGTTTTTTTGGAAGTGTAGCTTCCTCCTTGTGACCACCAAGTGGAGCTCTGCACTGCACCTTGCAGCTAGACAAGCTGTTGGCATTTCAGGATGGGGCTTTAAAAAGCTGTTTTCGGATGCAGGAATGAGCCAGAGAAGAGAAGGGAACAAGCTCAGAGCCTTTTCCTCCCCTCCTTGCAGGGGCTGTGCTACAAGGATCTCATTATTCACAGCTTTCTGCTGTGCCTGCCTGGTGATTGATGAAGCTTGGTGATCATCAGATGTGATAAGTAGTCTCAGCATTTTCAATTTGGGTGTTCAGCTTGGCTGCCTGGAGGCTTTGGAGACAGGGAGATGGCTATCTGTGGCTTCAGCACTCCATCCTGGCAGGTGTGTGTCACTTGGATTGCTAAAATTCACAAGGAGCTTCTCAAACCCTTGTCCCTGAGTAGTTTTTCAGAGATAAAAATCCAATGCCTGTTCTCTCTTGGCTGGTTTTTGCACCCAGTCTAGGGAAAAGCTCTGTTCATGGTGTTCTGGCTGCTCAGACTATCTGCTGGTAAGTTTTGGGATTGTTGATTGCTGTGTTTCCCTCTCAGCAGAGGGAAAAACACCTACATTCACTTGTCTTTGCAGGTTTCCTGTGAGCACTCCCCAGATGCCACTCACAGCTTCACAGTTGTGTGTTTTGTATGAAAATGTGCATTCTGACAGAGAAAATTCTTCTCTTGATTCTAAATGCTGGGCACATTGTAATACAGAAATTGCCTGTAAAATGCAATGGGAATTTAATCATCCCTGGGAGCTCCATTAGATGCTCTGTGTGGTAGGAATGATCTTTCCAGGTACCAAAAGCCATGCTCTAGCAGGATGATGCAGCTAAATCCCAGCAGCAGCTCATTTGTATGGGATGCAGGGCTAGGGGGGGAAAGGCAGCACTGGGATTGTCTTGTCTGGTGAGCTGAGGAAAACATGCAGTGTTTGGAAGCAAATCCTTGAATTGCAGGGGAGGGAGATGCCATGGCACAGCACAGTGCATCAGTGGGTTTGTAACATGCACTGATTTCTTACATTCTCATCTCTTGTGATATCCCAATTTGTGGAGGTTATTTAATCCAGGCTGGATTGCCACCAAACCTGTATGAGGTACAACTACAGCAGAAATAAAGGGATATTTGGGTAACAAAGGGTGTTTTGGCTGATGTGTTAGTTTTTAGTGCCTGGATGAGGGTGATGGGCTCTCCCAGGCTGACTACACCAGGAGGGAATTTTTCTACAGGGCTGAGCAGAGTTGGTGTAAATTAGATAAAAGTGCATAAATACTATGTTTCAATTCTCAGCCTTGAAAAAGGGACTGTGAGAAATTCAAAGCATGCCATTGTTCCAGATATTATCTTTCCCTGGTGGGTGGCTCCATCAGCAGCTATTAAATAGCTCCAGTGCAAATTCTGGCATAGGGTGTCCCTGAAACTTTGGTAGCTGCAACTTGGGAAAATAAACTGTGGGAAGACTGGCTCTGTATTTGCCCTGCTCTAGACTTCCTCCAGCATCTGCAGCCAGTTGTGGTTGGAAATAGGAAAAAATAGGAAAAAACCCTTTGGTTTCATCCAGTACAGTGGTTCCTGTGTTGCCATTTTAGATTACAGTGATGAAATACTGGTTTAAATAAATATTTCTTTTTCCATATGCTAACAGTACAGACATTTTTGGAATAAATGAATATCAGCTGTAGTGGAGAATTCATGGAATCACATAATTGTTTTGGTTGAAGGGGACCTTAAAGCTCATCTTGTTTCAACCCCCTCCTCCCCTCCCATGGGCAGGGAGACCTTGCACTGAATTCACAGGAATTTCCTCAAAATCCCGTTTATCAGCTCTCCTGTGCAGTGTTGGCTGTGCTGCCTTCTTTCCAACACTTTCCAAGGCCAGGTGGGATGGATGGGGCCTGGAGCAATTTGGTCTTGAAAGCAATGCCCTTTCCAGAGCTGGGAAAGTCTCAATCAGAGTTAAGCATAGAACCACCTCATTGCTGCCCCCAAGGCTGGAAATCAGGGGAAGAGCTCTCACTTGAGCTGTGGTTACAGATGCACATCCTTGTTTGCACCCTGCTGCTAGGAAGCAAAAAATTATTGTATTTCCCACTAATTTGAGAGTCTGAGACAACATCTCCTTGTTCCCCAGCAAGTTTCATCTCAGGAATGAGCCCCTGTGGGTGTCTTTCCTGCCAGAGAACAGGCACAAACTCCTTCAGCTGCTCTGCCTCTGGAGAAGCTCAGCCTGGTGCTCCCCTAGAGAGGTCTGTGAACCTTCTGCCTGGTGAGATCTTCCCTGACATTTCTTTTCTGTCTCCCTGGCCAGAGGGTGAAGAAGAGGAAGAGGATGAAGAGGAGGAGGAGGAAGAAGAAGAGGAGGAAGAGGAAGATGAGGAGGACAAAGACATAGACCTGATGGATGAAAGCATGGAGGGTGACACGGAGCTGCCAGGCTTCACACTTCCAGGAGAGACCTCCCAGGAGCCCCTGGCTGGCCTGGAAAACCCTGTGGCCCAGCTGGCTGGGGTGTCCTACCAGGTTCCTGACACCATTGAGTGGGAGCAGCAGAACCAGGGTCTGGGTAAGAGAAAAGCCCCTTTTTCCTTTACCCCTCACCTCTCCTGCTCTTCAATCCCTCATAGCAGCCACAGGTTGGCTCTCAAGCTAAACACAGAGCAGGTTCATTCATGAGGAATCCCAGTTCCACCAGTGACAACTGGTGAAACTGGGATGTGTCCCAGGCAACGTGACCTGCCTTGGTATTTTGGGGAAAATACGGATACTCCAATCCTGCTCATTCATTTCCAGAGCTTAGTGTTGTCTTGCTCCAAGGTTGGACAATAAAAGAACTTTTCAGGTGAGATTCCTGGGCAAATTTTGGTTCTCTTTGCCCAGGATGGGTTGGTGCAGGGATATTTGTCCTGTGGGCACGAAGGAGTTGGGTATTTGCTCATCAGCCTGTTTGCTACCTCAGCACTTGTCTGAATTCCACTTTCTGACATTTTAAGAGGTGCATGGTCCAGCCTTGGGCAGCTGTGCTGGCAGTGTGAAGGCAAACCTGCAAAGCCTCTATAAAGCTTTATACAATTTGTTCCTGCTGTACATACAGGCCCTGTATTTAATGGCTGGACTGATTTACTCCACCTAGGAGTCAGTGTTTATATGTGTGAAGTCCATGTGATGCAGGTCAAAGCTGGTGTGGGACAAGGGAGATTTTAGGAAGGAACTTGTCCAGCTTGGCAAAGGCTCTGGAATAATTTCCCAGCATTCCCAAGCCAGTCCCTGTCAAACACAGTGGGAACATTTCAGGTGAATTTGTGGGCACTGAACCACATCTACACAGAGGTCTTTATGTCTGACTGTTAGAGTTAGTTGTTCTGAGAAGCCCATCAAATAAAAAAGCCTCCAAAGCCTTTTATATGTTGTGTATCACATATATCTATGTGGTTTCTATCACTCCCCCTGAATGCAGAATTCTGATTTAACCTGGAGGTTCTCCTCTGTGATGCTGTTTTCAGCCTGCTTTAGTGATGTTGGCTTCCTTAATCGAATCAAAGAGTGCCTTTCAAGAACTATATGGGAGTCTTGATTTCCAGACCTCTGTGGGAGGGTTGGCCTTTGAAGGAGATACTGAGTTTGCAGCAGGACTGATCCCTCCCTGTCACACAAAATCCTGGTTGAGAAGCACAGTGTGGGTGGTGGCTGTGTCAGGGCTGTCCTGGTGTCCCCCCAGGACTTGTGTGAGGGGAATCATTCCAAGTCCTTAGAGGGTTTCTGGTTGTCTTTGGCAAGCTGGGTGAAAGAGGAGGTTCTATATGTTATATATGACAATGTTTGCATGAACTTTGGGTTACAGAGGAGGTTCTGGGTCAGACACAACTCATGGTTTATGCAGGTCTGGACTGGAGTCACAGCTGCATTTCCAGCTGCTGCAGGAAGAGGCTCAGGGGAGGAGTTGCATGTCTGGTACAGCAAGCAGGTGAGAAAGCAGTGACCAGGGGCTGATGCTGTTCCTCAGACCCCTGAAAGGACATATTTCTAGAAGTTTCAGACAAGGAATAAACAGACTAGATGGTAAAAGACAGGATTTCCCCCCTGCCTTATGTTTTATTGACTTCATGCACATTGGAGGAGCCCCTGTGAGGTGTGAGTTGGGTCAGCATCAGTGATGGCTCTGAGCACCTGGAGGATCAGGCAGATGAGGATTTTGGTCTTCTCTGGAAGTCACCAGATCCAAGTGGTTGGGATTGCCTTTTGGTTTTCGGCTGCTGCAGCCAGTGCAAACACCCATGAGGGAGAGGATGAGGCTGTGGCTGAGTTGGGTTCATTTTTAGGAGTTAGATGGGAGTTTTGTGCAGTGCTGTGCTGGCAAAAAAAGAGGGGACGCAGTGGGATCAGCCTCTCTGCTGTGACTCAGCCCTCTGATTCCAGCAGGCAGACTCTTATGTAAAAAGCCATTTATTCTTTTCCTGTCTAGATGACCTCAGTGGCTCTGTGACACTGCTCCTTCCCCATCTGCAGTGTGCTGGTGCTCAACAGTTCTCCTAAGAGAAAGGGAAATTGTTTATGTTTTAGAGGTGCAATGAAAATGGAACTGGATGAGGAGATTGGAGCTAAATGATCTTTAAGATCCCTTCCAGCCCAAGCCATTGCATGATTCTGTGAAAACCAAGGACTTGCATGAGCTCACACTGATAAAGGCCATGGAAGGAGCTGAGCCCAGGGGATTGGAGCTGATTTCCTGGGGGTGAGTGAGGAATGGGAGATGCTTCTGCAGGAGTGTGGCCCTTGCTCTCTCCAGCTTGTGCCAGGTGAGAATTTCTGCCCTGCTCCCAGCTCTGGATTCATGGGTGTCAGAATCTGTGGTATTGATGATTCTGAGATTGTAGAAAGTCTCTGTCTTTCTGCCCCATTGCCAAAGAAGAAGCCATAATTGGTCTGTGCTGTTTCAAGGTTGTTTATTCTGTTTATCTCTAACATGTTCTGCTGCCCTGCCGCAGCTCTGTCCTGCAGGGCAGCGTGTGGGGCTCTGCCCTCAGTGGGATGGTACAAACATTAAATACCACAAACTACCTGTGCTGGATTTACAATAACGTGCCAATATCTGTCACCTACGTTGAACAGTGTGTCCCCAGCCTGAACCAACAGAAAAATGCCAACACCACAGTGAAACATGGAGGGCATGAAGAAGGAGAAAAAGGACAAGACACACCCAATTTCCTCCATCTTGTCCCCTTTGGACCCCTAATCTAGAATCCTAAAATTTTACTTTTGCACCCGTGCCACACTTAATTATTACTGATATCAAACACTCAGAGCTGGTAATTCATCCTGTAAGATTGAAAACTCTTTTCCATGGACAGAGATCACAGACAGTGTCTCTGGGGGCTCTGTCCAGGGGGGTTCCTGACCCCTGCCAGGGTCCCAGACCTGCCAGGGCAGCCAGAGGGATGCCCTGGATTTCCACACATGGGCACACATCAGGCTGCCTCTGTGTCCATTCCTGGTCCTGCCCATGTGCTTCTTGGTGGAGTGGATTTGGGAGAACAGGAAAGGTGGGAAAAAGCACACAGCTTGTGTCAGCACAAAGTGGGTTGTTAAGAACAGAAGAAATCCCCCCAAATCTGGCAGGAAGCTGGAGGAGCTGCTCCCATTGTCCTGCTGGAGCACCTGGAGACACCAGACTCACTGTAAAAGACTTGGTAAGCTTTAGATCTGCTGGATGGGCTATTTTTTCTTGGAAACCCTTTTTCTCCAGGTGATTTTCATCTTTGAAGATCCAGTTTTTTAAATTCGGGGACTGCTTTGAAACTGCTGGACATCCCCTGAAGAGCTCTGTGTGTCTCTTCCTTCCCTCAATAGCACTGAGATGTGAAGAATTTCCCTTTTTGTGTAAATTAAGCAGGGTTTGGAAGGGGAAGTTGTTCTGCTTCACCTGGGGTACAGCCTTGGAAAGGGAGACCTGAAGGAAGGTGACAGCACCCAACAGAGAGCAGGGTGAGGGGACAACATCCAAGCACCAAACTTTTACAGATGGCATTTTCCATTTTTAAAATACTTTGCACTAATTTCTTCCTCCTGAGGATGCGTCTGCCCTCTAGCCTTCAGAATTTTGACATTTAATGCTAAAATCTATAGTGCAGAAGAGCCCAGAAGTGTTGGAATAGCTGTTCTCAGGCCAGTTATTATTGAGTCTGCTTGCTCTGATGGCTGACACAACTGCAAATCCCTGGAGAACGAGGAACTTGATCCACAAAACAGCTTGGCAGAACAAGAGACAGTTTGGATTTTTGTAGTGGTCAATGAGAAGTCGCTGGAGGAACAGAATCATTAAAAATGTCAGTTCTGGGCAGTCAGATGGTCCTACATTAACTCCAGCTGAGCAAAAGCCATTTATTAGTGCCAGTAACGAGTCTGACAGTTTTACAGCCCATCAACTGGCTCTCTAACCAGCAATATATAGACAATGAGTAAAGCAGAAAATGAGAAAATCTGTGCATTAATAAAATAGCATTTGACCATCTAAAAGCCATCCTGGTATCCTGCAGCTCTGGGGAAGCAAGGTTTGAATATGATTTGGGATCTGGTTTGGTGTCCTGTTCAAGTGCTTTGCTTCCACAGGTTGCCAGTGAAGGACAGAGCAGCACTTTTGAACTTCTCTGCATTCTCTGTGAGGTGGCTTTGGTGTCTCTATGCTTGTTTCTTGATTTGTGTGGAGGTGGTGTGCTGTAGGCAAACACTAAACACCTGGAGAGCATCAGAGGAGCACAAAGACCAGGTGGATAACTTGAATTTTCAGGGAATAAATAAAAATACCTGATCTTCCCCTGCTCTCTCTTTTGTGATGCATTACCAGGAGAGCCGCAGTTGGTTGAGGTGGGTTCAAACCTGGTGAGCAGTTTATGATCCTTCAGTTATTCCTCATGCATCTCAGAGCAGGTGGTCTTTGCTGTGCAGCTCCAAGGAGATCAAACCCCTCTGCTTCTGTTGGTAGTGGCTTCTTCTCCCAGTTCTCAAGAATGTTTATTCTCTCAGTTCTGTGAGAATTCTTAATTTAACAAGAATGAGCCAAGAGGAAAATGGCCTCAGACTTCCAGGCTATTTCCTGATTGCCTCAGTGCTTGCCTCTCATCCACATCCCAAGGTGAACAGCTCCTGCTATCCACAGTAGGGAGCAGCAGGAGATCTAGGGCAATTCACCAAACCTTTAATTTTACCACATTGGGGCATGCAGTTCTTTGCTTTCTGCATTTAAAATGTATGGAGCTGGTGTTTTATTCTTTCTCCTTTTGGGGTCCACTTGATGTAATTTTTGTATGTTTGCTAACACAGCTTTGCACCTTTGTCATCATCAACTTATACCATATTACATCTGAATTTACTCTATGTGGTGGCTTGTGTGTATGCTAGGTGCTGGTTTTTATTCTCTGTTTTAACCTAAATTAATTTTTCTCCAGGTCTGCCTTTCTTTAGCTGACCCATTGGGGTGTTTTTATCCACCTGTTCATGGCAATACCACATTACAGGGCTGCAGCTTGTGAGAAGCTGCCTGGCTCCACAGCATTTGTTTTTGATTTCCAC